AACCTATTGCTTTCTGGTTGAAGAGTCACTTTACGTTAACAGTTTTAGTGGTGCTGACTCGTGGCACAGCTTTTAAAACTGATAACCAGACTTCGGTGGCAGTGTTAAACTTTCATATTTAGCCGCAAAATTTGATAAAGCTGTGCACTAGAGCAGTTCGAAAGCACAAAGCCACTAATTGCCTTTTAAAATAATAATGGCAAAAGCTTATGAGCCGACTATGGACAAAAGAAAACTAAGATGCAACCTAAGAGCTCAGAAGCAGTTTGCGGGAAAAACGCTCTAATTTTAATCACTGCGACGAGATAAAGTGAAGCAAACAATACTCAGAAGCGGTTCATTTGCGAAGTTTTAATTATTATTTCAAAAAAAAACACATGCCAGACAAATCGTAATGTAGCAAAAATAGAATTTTTTCAGGACTTGAATAAAAAAGAAGAAGCGAGTTGACATTTTCCTCTAAATGCAGGCGTCATACTTAAAGGTCACCACCACTATTGAGTGAAGACAGTTCGTCGCTTGAAAGAGGCTCCAAGTTAAAGCCTTGAAGTGGATTTTTTCCCTCCAGTTCTCGCAGGAAGTTCAACTCTTCTTTTATTCGGTCTCTTAGGGTATTCACTTCAGCCTTGTAGGTAGAGACATCCGACTGTAGGGCAGTCTGCAGGGAAAATCTTGGAACGCTGAAAAATTGGCGAGCTAGGCAGGTCCAAACATCACTCGGCGCGTCTGGATCCTTCAGTCTATTGAGTGCCTCTTGCGTTTTGCGCAAATTAATGTCATACAACTTGCAACGCTCCTGGTCAGCCAGCACCTTTTCGGCAGCAGCCTCTATTTCCTCCAGATCCCGCAACAGTTTTTGGCGTCCTGGGTCGGTCATACTTGACATAGATTTTGGTGGGTAAGCTGGGCAGAAGCGAAAAAAAGGAAGGTCAAAATGAGCATTGGTGCAATAGGATGTAAGCCAAGGATGGGTAGTGTATGCGGAAAGGAGTCTCGTAAAACTGGCGGAAAGCCTGAGAAAAGGTGGGCCTATTACAGCAAAATACGGACAATAACATACAATAAACATTTCCTAAGCCACATCAACGATCACTATCTCCACTGAAACCCGGAACTACGAATTACAAAAATCGTTTGTACTACGATGGGGGGGGGGGCACCTTTCGGCAGAACATGTACCAGACATAACGTTAAAAAAGTTTTGTCAAAAGTGTGTGTGCACACTCGTGGCCTGAACAGCTTTTCGGGGTGCTCTCGAAGGACTCGTGTAGAAACATCAGATCGTAATTTTACACTGTTTATGCCACTATGGCGTCTGTACATCACCTCCTTTGCTGTACCTACAGCGCTTGTCTTTACTGATAAATTACGCACTGGGTGAACAACCTTATTTTTTCGAAAGCTCAATGTCCGTATGCGATTAAAAAACAAGACAGATTGAACGTATTTGAGGTGTGGCCAGACAATCTAATGCAGACTACCCAAACTGCTGGAATCGCTGACGAACGAGAAAATTGCATTTTGAAGCCTTTCTACACTTGCACTTGGTACTGCCTGTGATCATTCCTGATCTAGTCGGTGTCAATGATGTCATTAACGATACCTCTCCAAGCGTGACGATTAGCAGCAGTGGATCTGGAAAGCTCCATTCATTCTTTCCTCCAGCGACGGAGACTGACGGTCTAAAAACCCTTTAAATTTCATGACGAAAGGTGTCGAGCCAAGTCTTGAGTTGCCTTCCTGTTCGACGCCTCCAGCTGGGCTGCGGCACCGGATCGAATGCAGCATAACAAAGCTCATGAGGAGGCGGAGGACGGAAAGCGTGCCTAAACCATCTCAGTCCCTTTTCTTTGATGGCCTGGGATAAGCTCGCGATACTGTAACGACGAGTGTTGACTGTCTCATTTGCGCCGAAGTCGGTATACTTCACTCGAAAGACGGTCCACAGGCGGCGATGGTCAAGGACCAGCATTCACATCCATAGAGCAGTACTGACGGGACAGATGCGCGGTACATGCGGATCTTCGTGATGACGATGTCACGTCGGCACTATAGGCACTCTAAGAGGATTTCGAAAACCCGGTGAGCAAAATCGATTCGATTCTCATCCCTGAAGATGGACTCCTGTTAGATCTGGTGCTCGATACGTCTTCTTTCTCGTCCATGCAAGTACCTGGATTTCGAACCTTCTTATTCATTCGGAAGACAGTATCGTTTTATTCTGTTCATCTGATAGCAACCTCGCCCCGAGGTATTTAAAACTGTTTACTTCTTCAAGTTGACGGTCATTAATTCTCAGGAGTTCTTTTCCTGATCAGGGATGCAGCTCAATAATAATTTGGTCACCTCGGTATTTATGGACAAGGCAACACATGCAGCGATCTAGTCCGCCTGTGACAATACAGATTGCAGAACACCAAAGCTTGAGGCTAGCAGGGCGATTTTTTCGACTTTGTCAAGGTCAGTCAGCTGGCGTTCGGGTGCAAACTCCACACTGTCAAAACTGTGTAGGGCCTTCTCGAGAATCCAGTCAATAGGGCTGTTAAACAGGATGGACGACAGGAGGCAGTCTTGTCGAACATCAGACCAGATATCGAACGGCTGTGATTGGTCTTAATCATGGCAACAATGTTGGTCGGTACTTTATCTACTTCCATTCTTCGCCGCAGGCACTCAGGATCGACGGAATCGAACGCAGCAGCAAATTCGAGTAAGACGATC